GCTGTCACACGAGAACAACGCATCGCTATCAGCAACGATTCCTATGCTTGTTAATCTGAAAAAATGCCACCTCGTCGTCTCACAAGGCGACAGTCCCACAAAACGTAAAATGAAGCTTAAACTTGTGGAGGAAATAGACAGCAGATGGAAGCTATATGAACGACTGGTTATGACAAGCAGCGTTTATATTACAGCTGCTGTACTCGACCCCCGTTTTAAACTGCTCCCATTTCTCGAAGATGAGAAGCGCGATGAAGCTTATGTCACTGTGTCAGACCTGGCTGACAGGATGAGCGTGAGGGAACACGCGCACTGTGCAGGTGAGCCACAAGAGATCGACGGTGATGATGCGCCCGTGTCCAAAAGACAGAGAACAGACAAAGAGAAGAACACTGCGATGTTACTGTGTGGACAAGTTCCAGAAGATGATGATCCTGCTGTACAAAGAGGATCCAGTTCCGACGAAATGAAGGATTACCTTCAAGACCGAAGCAAATGTGACTCTACAGGGCCACTGGTGTGGTGGAAAGAAAACCAGGACAGATACCCCATGCTCGCTCTGGCTGCGAAGCGACTCCTCTGCATACCTGCCACCTCCACGCCCGCGGAACGCATCTTTTCCAAAGCGGGATTTATTGTAAATAAAACCAGGAGCTGTCTGCTTCCCAATAATGTGGATATGTTACTTTTCCTTGCCCACAACTTGTCAAAGGTGGATTAAACCCCTAGCGGTGTACGTACACTTTTGGTTCTACGTCATGGTGCTACGTCCCTTAGGACTTCGCTAGTGGGATATCACTCGTGACCCCCAGGTCACGCGCCAGAGAGATCAAATAATTTGCTCCAATCACCAGCCACCTTCCTCTATAAATGCCCCTGCACAAGGCCGCACCCCCTCTTTCACTCTGGCGCCGATTGAGATCTACATTCAATTACCTGAGGAAAGATGTCTTCCGATGCTCGTCCGAGTTCCCCTTCGCCATCCGGCGTCGGACGTCGTTGTTGCTCGACTTGTCGGGTCAAGCTCCAGCGCAAGGACCAGCACTCCAGCTGCTTCCTGTGGCTGGGTTCGGGCCATGCGGCGTTGAGCGCCACCTGCGCCTCGTGTGTCGCTCTCCCCAGGGAGGAGAGTGAACGCAGGCGCGCGTTCTTCGCCGCTACAGCGCCCCGTCCGGACCCCTCTCAGGACGAGGGGTCTGCGATTGACTGGGCCCCCCTCGACCTTCCACCCGTGCCCGCGGAGTGGGGTGACTGCGAGGACGGAGAGGTGTCGGAGGTCGGCTCTCTCTTCACGCTGGACGAGGGGGTGTCCAACCCGGAGCCGGACCGCTTCCCGCTGGACCACATGCCTGGGCTCTACGCCACGGCGGCGGCCATCATGGATGCCCCCCTGCCACCGCAACCGAACCAGAGGGTGGAGGACTTCACCTCTGGTTACGCCACCCCTCGAGGGAGGAGGAGAGCGCAGCCCACGTTGTGCCCGCGTATGGACCCGATCGTCCATTACGCGACACGTGAGTGGCCAAAGCCCCTAGCGGCCAAGAGGCCCGCTTTGGGGTATGGCATGTACTGTAACGTGCAGGACTGGTCCTGGACCGGCGGGTCCCGGACATCGAGGACTCGGTTCGGGCGGCCCTGCACCCCTCCACATCCGTGTGGCCCAGCACCAGACCTCTCCTTCCCTCCGAGCGGGATAGGATGTCTTTGGCGATGCACGACAGATGTTACGCCAATGCGGCTCAGGTCGTCGCGGTGGCTAACAACATGGCCTTCATCACCGGGGCCCTGGATAGGTCTCTCTCCTCTGACCAGGCACTCAGTGGAGACACCTTATCCCAGGCGAGGACCACTTCAGCGGCGATCTTGCGCATGTGCCAAGCGCTAGCTGTCGATGGCGGCCGCACGATGGCAGCAGCACAAGTTGGGGCCAGACACCTCTGGCTGGGGTCGGTGAATCTCAGAGAGGCGGAGAAGAGGCAGCTGCTGGACCTGCCCATCTCCCAAACGTCACTCTTCGGTCCGGAGATGCAGACGCTGATAACGAGGCTGGACACCGCAGCTAAGGACTCTGCTAGCCTAGCCAAGCATCTAGCTGCGAGACGCGAGGCCCGCCCACCAGCGCGGAGCCGAGACCGAGGCAGGGAGCGCTCGCCCGGCAGGCGCCCCGGACCATATCCACGCTCCGTGGTCCATCGTTCCCCAGCGACGAGACCCCCGGGCCCAGACAGGCACACGGGAGGTTCGCGGGACCAACACGAAATGAAGGATTACCTTCAAGACCGAAGCAAATGTGACTCTACAGGGCCACTGGTGTGGTGGAAAGAAAACCAGGACAGATACCCCATGCTCGCTCTGGCTGCGAAGCGACTCCTCTGCATACCTGCCACCTCCACGCCCGCGGAACGCATCTTTTCCAAAGCGGGATTTATTGTAAATAAAACCAGGAGCTGTCTGCTTCCCAATAATGTGGATATGTTACTTTTCCTTGCCCACAACTTGTCAAAGGTGGATTAAACCCCTAGCGGTGTACGTACACTTTTGGTTACAATTATTAGGTTAATAATTCTGTTGTTGGATTTCATTCAAATCGGAGGTAGGTGAGATGTAATATCTTTATTCAGGCTTTTTTTCGTTTTAGAACTTAATGGCAAGTTGAAATAATATACCTTAAAAAAAATCAACGTTTATTAAAAGAGTCAAATATAGGCCTCGTTTAAGGCCGTATGGAGCGACGGCAGGCCCACGCACTCAGCTGTTTTGAAAGAAAGTTGATTATTTATAGCTATAATCCAAATTTTATTTAAATACGTATTTTTCTTTTTTATAGAAGTTATTGAAATATTGCTGTTAATTTCTATACTTTACACGTACTTCACACAAGTCATTGTGTGTGTGTGTTTTTATTGTATACCTGTAAATGTTTGGATCTTTGCTCGTTAATAAATGCTAAAAATGTTTTAAAAAAATAAACAGTCTTTTGTAATTTTATAATTGAAATATTTTATTTTCTCTTCTTTTTTTTGTTCTTTTTTTTTTGGTCGACTAATCGCTACATGTGCTATAGTCTTGGTCGACCAAGCATTTCCTTGGTTGATTACAGCCCTACAAATCAGTAACATCAGCAGCTTTTTACCATCTAAAAAACATTGCCAGGATCAAAAACATAGTATCTAAAGCAGACTTGGAGATTCTTATCCATGCATTTGTCTCCAGTAGGTTAGACTACTGCAATGGCCTGCTCACAGGTCTGTCCAAACAGGCTGTAAAACAGCTGCAGTACATTCAAAATGCAGCAGCTCGAGTCCTGACTAGAACCAGGAAGTACGACCACATTAGTCCAGTTCTCAGGTCTCTGCACTGGCTTCCTGTGGCTCAGAGAATAGACTTTAAAACAGCTTTGCTTGTGTACAAGTCTCTCCATAGCCTCGCACCAAAATATATTAGTGACATGTTAGTCCCATATGAACCAGCCCGGACTCTGAGGAGCACAGGGACTGGACTCCTGTTAGTGCCCAGAGTCAGAACTAAACATGGGGAGGCTGCTTTTCAGATTCATGCTCCTAAAATCTGGAACAATCTTCCTGAAGATGTGAGACAGGCCTCCTCTCTGACAATGTTTAAAACCAGGTTAAAAACGGTTCTGTTTAGCTGTGCATACAACTGAGGGATTTTATATTTTTATCTTTCTATTTAATGTTCTGTGATTATTTATGATTTTAATGCTTTCTTGTTTTGTTCAGCACTTTGAATTGCCTTGTGTATGAATTGTGCTATACAAATAAACTTGCCTTGCCTTGCCTTGCCTTGCCTTGCCTATTTATGAGTCAAGCAAAACGTGTATACTATAAAATGTGGAACACGCTGAGACTTGCCCTGTGTCACTGCAGATATTGTGGACAGACAAGTCCTTTAGAACGTTTTCATCAAGATCATTTCAGACAGCTCTTAAGAAACATGTTAAAATTTATAAAGCTTAATGATTACATAAAATGAGAAAGTTCTTAGGTCTTTTAGTCTTCCAGAGGAGAGAAAATGTCAATTTGTTCTGCAAGACTTCAAGATGAATTCAGTAAATGAGTCCAATAATTGGGATTAAACATTATATTCTTGTCTCTATGTTTATTTAAGGCACAAATCAATAGGTCACAACGAAGGACAGTGGTGAGAGCCGTTACATAATGTGAAGTCCTGCCGGGGCTCTTTTATCCGTCTCCAGCAGAACCGAGGTGAACGCTGAGATGTGCAGAGTGTGGGAACGACGGAACAACAATAGTTCATGGCAACACTTCCTTTTAAGAAGAAACTAATACAAAGTTTGAGTCCTTCAAGATTAAACCAAGCTGTAAAGTTAGCTTTAGCTGACAAAAACTCTATGCATGAAATGGTTATAATTTGACAAGTTTTGAGTGTTGTATGGGGTATCACCCAAATTATTTTCACACATGTGCTTAGGATGTTCTGTGAAAAATGAAGAAAAGCGAAATATGGCACCTTTAACATAAACTGTAACAGCGTATTTTAATCGAACAGTACTTACTACAGCACAGAACTATAAATGTGGATTGTCTTTAAACAGGACTTGCCAATAAAACAAGCGCACATAGTTATTTACAACAAGCAATTTCTTACTCGGGATGTTAAAACAAGAATGGTACAGTTCTTGATTTTTGATTAAAATGTACATGTGCTCAAACGAAGGCCATTGTTGCCTTGATCCAGCACTAGTTGAAAACCAAGGGGATTATGGGACCAAAACAATAGTCAAATGTAATGGCATTAACTCAAACTAATTCGAAAATAGTAGTAGAGTAACTCTCTCATTCAGGGATCTTCAGTGTTTTGTTGTTGTAACTGATCAAATACAACCATCCAACTCCTGGAAAGAGTGAAATTAAGATAAAAAGAATCCAGCCATTTGTTTGTTCTCCAGAGCCTCCTAAAACCTTTTTGCTTGATGAAAGTGTATTCAGAAGGAAACATCTGGTACAGTACTTTCTTACTTGGACTTTGGTGGTGACGCTGTCTGGGACCTGGTATCGGATCTCACTGGCACTTGTGTGAGACTTGGGGAGCAGGTAGGGATACGACAAGGAGCGGTACCTCGGCTTCATGATCTACAGGAGAACAGATACGTGCTCAGGTTACTATAAAAGCTCGGGTACCTGTCTATCAAACCATAAAACATCAAACGAGTGTTGAAATCTAAAGAGTTTGGTTCTATCTCTAGTCTGCACATGCATGTTCAGTATGTTTTGGCCTCCCTCACTCAGCCCAAATCCTTGAATAGTGACTCACAGTGTTCTTTTTTTAGTATGCAAAAGATCAGAATCAGAATTATTTTTATTGTCATGTAAAATGACGGGCATAAAGGGCAGGAGACAGTGATTAGTTATGATATATGTCTGATAAAATGATGGCAGCATGTTGTGGTCCAATTTATTCACAAAACTTGAGTGGAATTTTCTCATGGGACGAACAAAATGTAAAATTGATTAATGTTAGGTACCCTAGCTTTAAATGGAAGGCAGGACTGTGACACTATAGTAAAATGAATTGAGACACACTCCTACTATAAGCCCATCAAACCCAGCATCCAAAACAGAATTCAATGCTAACACATACTATCATAACATTTGGTTTTAGAAGTGAGTGAGAGTGAGAAGGAACGGGCTTGTTAAAGTTCCCATTACCTCAGTCTGCCCAGCTTGTATTAGCATTTCCAACAACAACAACAACAAAAGACGATTATTGAACGTTTTCCATGTTTGCACCTTTGTGAAGTTCCAGCGCTGAATAAAATGTCTGGCCACGTCCCTTGCAGCTCTCCCGTGAACCACAGAGGCGATGTCGTGCCACGGCATCCGCTGCGTTGTGTATCGGTCGATAAAGTCTGTGTAGAAGAGTCACAATGTAAAGAGAAATATAGCAGTGAAATAATGGTCATATTTATCAAAATTGGTAATATTTTTAGAAATATATGTTTGCTTATACATTTTTTCGGCCTTGTTATACACCTCAAAAGTAAAGTTGTTTAGTTGTAACACAGTGTAACAACTAAACAACTTTACTTTTATATAATATATGCATTTCACCCTCTCTCTTTTCACTTATTTTAGCTTGAGTTCTGTACCGTCAAAAGGCTTCTCCAGCTGAATCCAGTCCTTGTACACAAAGTTGCAGTAATCTTTTCCATGCCAAAAGCGCGTGTTGCCCTGAAGTTCTCCCATTCCGGTTTTCAGGCTTTTCACAGAACCACTCCCTTTGAAAACACAAAGAGTATAATGATACATTTCTCCCCTTGTGCGATGAATAAAGAATCGTTGTGTTTGTTCCAACAGAAAGAGTTTTGTAAAGTTTTGGTTTTTTTGGATAGACCAATAATTTTCTGTTTTTGTCTTAGAAAACATGTCATATATTTGCAATTTGTAAGAAAGGGCCACTATTTGACAATTCGGGCAGAGACCTGATTGGCTGAGTGAGGGCTGTCTTCTTTTTTAACCCTTTAAGCGCCAGAGGTTTTTTTCCAAAACGCTCAATTTTGACATCTTAATTTCAAAAGGCTATAACTTAAAAGTGATAAGAGATAAAGGCTTTCTGTAAATTAGAAAAATATAAAGGATGGTCCAAAGTTTATGTAGAGAATAAATCCCCCCATCTAATTTGCATATTATGACGTCATTTGGCGTTAGAAATAGTGGATTTTAGAATTTTCATACAATATTTGTATTTTTCTAACTCGCAGACCTATATTGATCACTAGGACATGAACACACACAGAGCACACACTGTAACATTGTAAATGTTCATGAAAATAGTAAAATATATATAAATCATGATGCTGCTGTGAGCAGTCTGCCCAGACGCGCGCGTCACCGCGACCCTGCTGCTGCAGCTGTCTCCCCCACTCTCTCTCTCTCATCTCCCCTGCCCTCTCTCTCGTCTAACACACACAAGACAAAGCTTCTCCAACACATTACTGTCCCGGTGATTACGGGAGGCTTGAAAATAAATATGTGGGAAGCACTTTTAGCGGAGACTTTGGCGGAAACTTCAGCGGAGGCTGGAGGTCGCGGCGCGGCGCCCGACCCGAGTTCTAGGCTTGTTTTCCGCAAATCTAACCTGTCTCCGAACTTCCCAATGACTTGGCCTTACTCTGAGAAACACTGTTCCCACTGCAGACCCTGTGCAAAGTGTTTAAAGTTAGCGTTTGGTGCGGTACAACACTTGCAGGCTGCCCCGCAGCTGCATTCGCTTCGCTATGATTTCTGCACTGGTTCAACGCGGTCTTGCTCGAATATTTTGTATGGGAGCATGACGTTTTTTGGGGCCAGGGAGGTAGTCTGACATGTCTGCCAACTAGTGGCAGGGAGTATGAATGAATTTTGACACTCAGTTGGTCACACTCGGCCGTTTTTAACAGTACCGCAGCTTGTCGACTTAAGTCGACCGTGGCGCCTAGAGGGTTAACTTTTCTGTCTGAAAAAGCCAATGTAAAGATGTAAAAATGCATGTCTGTGAAAACAATTGATAGAACCAAACTATGAGGGCAAAGAACTAGTTAGATGGATTTGATTAACATTGTATTTTTTTTTTTGAAAGTCAAGCACCTCAGCTTTAAGATAAAAAAAGATAAAAACTTATTTATAAAAAAAAATTGTAGTAAAGGAAAAGTCCACTATATACTGTATGTATTGTGCCATAATTTGATGCAATGATTATCACACATCATAGTACCAGCAGTAGCTTATGCCCGGCAACACAAACACAAACACAGTATGAGCCCCGTTGCTAGGCAGAGAAGAGTGGATTCCTCTGACCTGTGCTGTCCTCACTGCTCACACTGTCGGCCCTCTGCACCGCGTGTCTGTGGATGTGTCTGTACAGGCTGAAGCGGGACATTCGACTGCGCCCGATGCCTTTCAGTTTGGGTAAGTCCACCTCAGCGGAGGGAGGGATCCCGCGCCCGTTCCTCTGAGCAACACAGTCTGCTACGGAAGCCTTGGGAGGAAATGAAAAGGAATGTCAAGGATAACCAATTTCTACAACAGTGCAGATGGATTCTCTGATTTACGACAGCTGCGTCTTGGCTTTTCGATCTGGAGAACTGCTTTTCCTTCCTGAGGGCAGTTGGGTGGAATTGAGGGGATTTTTATATCAACAATAAAAACAATCTAGGGGAAATTGTCTATCAATCACCAATCTACAAGTTTTCTCTTTACTCGAATCCTCCAAAGGCTTAGTAAAATCACAGTTTTTATTGCCCGAAAACCCCAGGTCGCCTCTTGCTTACACACGGAGTGACCCGAGCCAGAACAACACAACATTTAACCAGCCTTGCAACCTAGTATTTTGAACACTTTACACTAGTATAATTTTATATTTTGTTATCCCTAGATGCAGATACATACAGTATATAGACAGTAAAGCTGACATTAGGCTAAAAGTTTGAAACCCTATATACCAATATGGACAACATAACTAAATACACAAACTATAGTACACCTGTAAGCCTCAAAATAATCTATCCGAAACCATATGACTCAGGACCAACCTGCTCCAGTGCCACAGACCGGGTCACACTGCCCACATCTGTGAGCCGATGCTCGCGGTCGTCCCAGCGACCGTAGGCCAAATCGATCCCGCCCACAAACGCCACGCTCTGATCGATGACCACGATCTTCTCATGATGGGCCCAGAGATACACGGAAGAGGACACATGGTCAGGATGTCGCATCACCTGGACAACAAGACACAAAACTGAACATGAGGACAAAGAGGACACAATAGTATCAGAATGAACACACACAACATCATGCATTTGAAGTACCTAACTTTGTTTTTTAGGAAAGAGCCTTGTGAGTAGCTAATTCTCAAACTGTGGCTTGTGAACGATCAAAGCTACAGTCACATTGTGGACTAATAATTTGAGCGTTTTTGTTGATGTCCTTGCTATTGTCTGTGTCTCATGTGTGTACTTTGCAACGCTCTTGTGTTTTTATGTGTCTGCTTTTACAAAACTGCTTTTTATGTTTGCATGTGGCTTTTAAATAGCCTCTGCTCTGATGGCTGAAACATCAACCTGCCATAGGACTATAGATGGAGACTTGCCATCATGGCTAAATCTGGCATATTTACATGGACAAGTCGAATTATGTGCACTGTCCCAGTCAAATAATCAAAGACATTAATAAATAGATAAATATTTGACACTAGTGCCTGTCTTCACTTTTCCTGTCTAAAATGCTGAATTAAAGATGTAAGTAGTAGTAGTAGTAATCTTTATTTATTTACCACCTTTCATAGACCAGAGTCACAAAGCGGTTTACAGTTGGGTTTTTTTGGGCATTTGTCCTCTCACTCCACACAGACATGGGAGCGGGGTCGCTAGTACAGGACCCCGCTCCCATGTCTGCCAAACCTATTGGACATGTTTTTAGTGGTAGGGTAAACCAGAGTACCCGGAGGAAACCTACGCAGACACGGGGAGAACATGTAAACTCCACTCAGAATGGCCCTGTTCCGACTGGGATTCGAACCCAGGACCTTCTTGCTAAGAAGCGAGAGTGCTATCCACTCAGCCACCGTGCCGCCCGGCACCAGTGATAGAGCCAAACTCTGAAATGGATTTTATCGTATCCTTAAATGTATGTGGTTTGAAATGTAGGCACCCCAGCTTTAATCACTGGTCATTTTATAAGGTCCAACACTGTGCACTAGGCTTTCTCCAAAGTCTCACTAAAACTCCCAAACTGAAACTGGTCTTCACCTTGATGTTGGGATGAAGGTGCCGCAGAGTTCTCTTGCTGTAGCCAGAGTTGATTCCCAAAGCAAGCTCCACTTCCTTGTACAACATCACAAAGATCCGCACGCCCTGTTGCTATGGACACATCAACATAACATAAATATTAAAAGACTTTTGAGCCACATTTATGACTCATCTTGATGGAGGCAAACGGCAAATATGAATATGTTTAACTTATTATGAATTAAACATGTGTAATGTAGCAGGTTTGTCTTACTGCTTTGCGCCTCAGGATGTAGTCGAGCCTCCATCTGTTGCCCTCCACCACTGGTCTTTTTAGGAAGATTTCTGGACTCAACCTACCGGACACAGGAATGTAATTATGATTATGATAACATATATTTATCGTTTTAACAAAGTTATATTTATTTATTCATAACCTAAAACACACATAAAGGTCTGGGACAGATAGAGACAACAAATGAGACATGTAATCCGCATAAATCACTCATTAGTTCAGTTCAGTTCAGTCGATTACAAATACAAACTAAAAACATGTAAAATTAATTTAATAATTAGAGACATTGCATATTTGTAAATGGGACACCCTTGAAGCAACCTTTTGCTTATAAATGCGGCCCAAGACAAAAAGAAAAGAGATATTAACCAGAATTTTCTACAACACTTGATGCTACTCTTTGCACAGCTGAAAGTAGGCAATTTCTAACAGCGCCTCCAGTACACTTTTCAGATGGATCTGTTGGTGAAACAAATTCTACAGGTAGATTTGCCTCGCCTCCCACAAAAATGGGAAAATACTTTAGAAATTACACATTTTATTCCACCTTTGATAAAGAATGAGGCTATAAAGTAGACTGGCAAGGCACTATTTCTAAATGGCCTTTATCGTCCTTATTGATAAGAATAATATAATTGTTAAAAAAATGGGAGAATTCCACTTAACAAACGGATGAGGCATTTAATACAAGTGTAATAATATCTCATGCAAATATAAGCAAATAATATCTCAGTCAAACCTGACGTATGTGCTATTTATTGCTATGATCTAAATCTCAAATCGACTGACAGAGATATGAAACCAAGAAAACATGATGAATGTTTCATTACTATTGTGAATCTTCATTGACATAATCGATGAAGGAAAGTCAGAATAAACAGATGTGGTAGGACTGGTCCCTCATTCCTTCCATGCCATTGGCTCACGTTACAGCTGCTCTCCTCTGATAGTTTAAGACCATGAGCTTGTGATTACAGCATGCCACACTTGGACTTCCGCCCAGTTCTGTGGTCACATATTTTAGCCTGCAACCTAAAGACCAGAAATGATAATGGTCCTTAAGGTATGATAATTGTCCTAAAATCATAACCCTTTTTGATAGTAAGCAGTAGCAAGAACTTTCAAAGAATCCTTCACCCAATATTGTTCACATAATAAATATTCACAGCTTATCTTGCTTTGCCATTCACAGCGCTTTCATGCATCCAAGACAAAACATCTCAGACGAGGAAAACATGACCCTTCTTTATCTCTGTAGTGCTGCTTACGCCCTCATCCAGGCCATTGAGGAGAACAGAAGGACTGATAATGTGACGTATATTATGTTCTCCCATTGTGAACATGCATGAGACTGTGTGAAGGGGGAGGTAATGGGAGCCTGTGACTGGGGCAGGTTGGTTCGGTATAAAGGGTGAGGAGGAGGAGTAAACTGTGAGGTGCAACACTGCTAATGTGTCAGCTGTTTTGCAGACTTGCTTCAAAGTAACTCTCATTATCTCTGAATTTTATAATGCAATAAGATTAAGACCTATGGAAACAAATCAGAATCTTGACAAAAAATTCTGGATTTTTAGGCCATTTTACAAATCAGAATCAGTATTGAACCCTGGTTATTTCTATTGAGAATCAGAGGAAATTCTTGCCACCTCACTAGGATGTTAAAGCTGGGGTACATAAGTGTTGTGTTTAATAATTAGAATAAGTTCCTGAGAAAATCAGATCACAATCTATTTTTCTTAGTCGAGAATATGTTATCTTTTGTAATCTAAGAAAGTGCCCTGTGAGAGAGGATTGGTAAACGGTAAGTAAACAGCTTCCTACCACGTACAAAAAAATGTCATAGTTTTCAGCTCATTTCAACCTGCCACACTATGGATTTTGGTTGTAAATAGAACAACTACATTCCAGCGACTCACATTATAAGTCGATAAAGTATTAGGTATGTTCCCAGATAGCTGTGATTTGTATTTGCAATAACAATATAGGAAGAGATGTCGGCCAAGTTATTATGTCTAAACTGTCAAAAGCACATATTTGAGATTTTTAGACAGCACAAACCCATACCATTTACACATATATATTATAACCTGTAGATACTTGGCTATTCGCTTCCATTCATTAACTGCACATACCACCAGTCTGTGATGAAAATCTCCTCCTTCGCCTCCTCCAAAGCATCTGCTACGTCTTCCATGTATGTTTTTCCGTTTACGTACCTGCAGAGAAGGAGATCCTCTTAAAAACAACTCTTTTTTTATTCACCGATTTAGTTTGTAGTTATTTCTTTTTATTAATTTATGAATTGTTTTAACTGTAATATTTTCCTTGGCATAGTAATTGTTGCCTTCTTTTCTTCAGCATTATATTTGTCGCCTTGTTATGTTTTTGAATTATGGAAATTTGACCAATGGAATAACAAAGTAAAAAACTTAACTTAAAAAGTATTCTAAAAATGTATATTAAAAAAAAGGAACTTGAACAATAGAAACTGTCCTGAATAAACTAGATCTATTGTTAGAAACATCTCTCTCACACACACACACGCACACACGCTGTAATTTGTCTCAAACAAGAAAGAAAACACATATTAAACTGCTAAGTGCATGAGAAAAAGTCAATTTAATAGCTTACAAGTTAAATGTGGAAATTCATTCTGTCTTCTTATGTTTACGGCTTTTTAGGTTCTTCTAATAAGACAATTAAAGCAAAAAAGCTAGTACTGCTTAAATACCTGACATGTTTTGGCGGTACACTTCCGCCTTCATCAGAGGTGACACGTGATGGTGTGATGCTGTGGTCTCTGGAGAAGTGAATCCCAAGTGTGAGCCAAGGTGAAGGGAGCGGGGAACACGGACCATCAACAGAGATGAGGGGGCCTTCACCTTGGCTCACACTTGGGATTCACTTCTCCAGAGACCACAGCGCGGTGGGGGGACGTGGTCAGTCTGATGGATCTGTGAGATCTGTCAGACTGACTGCTTCCGGCAACAACAGCTGATAAGAGACGCGTCACGTGTACCGCCGAAACATGTCAGGTATTTAAGCAGTACTAGCTTTTTTGCTTTAATTGTCTTATTGGAAGAACCTAAAAAGCCAGCTTATAAATTGGTATCAGAATGTGATATGCAAAGATGGATGCGGCAGGTGAGAGGGAGAGAAGGAAAACTGAGTGGATCCAGTTCAACACTAGAACACTCACGATACTCGCCAAAATGAAGTCTTAAGTCAACACGAAGACCCCCTGATTGATATGCAGTGGTGTAGCGGCTTGTTGAATTACCATTTGGCCGGGATATTCTCCTGCTCTTGTGCAAAGGAGCTGAAGCGATGATCCCGGAGAAAGGCTTTCCCGTGATTTCTGACAAAGTTCTCGATGCTCTGTCCCCACCAGCGAGCGTGTCTGTAGCTGCTGCATTTGAACACCAGCGTCCTGTCAAAAGAGACGTTAGATTTATAATTGTGATCTGTTCTGACCTAAAATGTTGTAAAAAGTGGGTAGGTACAGTAGATGCCAAACAGCCAGAATTTTTATATTATTATAAAATAATAATCAGCCATGAAAGTAAAGATAGGCCACCCTGTGCAGATACAATCATGTGTACTGAAAAATAAATCAACACCAAAAGTATAGACTTCTTAACTTTTTCTGTTTCTTTTTTATAACTATTTTGTATTTTTAGCAAAGAAAGTAAACACAAAGAGTTGAGCTACACAACACATCATTCCTCCCAAAGAGGTTTCATCCCTAACATTATATTTTGTGGACTCACCGCGAGAGACTGTCGACGCGGACCCCGTATTTAGTCTCTGTGTCTTTGGAGTCCATTTTGATGCTGAACTCTTTGTCCAACAGAAGCACAAAGGAAATGGCCCCAGAGTCTGGCTTCATGTAGAGAAGGAACGAGTCCTTCACCACCAGCCACCTGCGCAGACACACACACAGAGACAGACACACACACAGATCTTTAGAACGACAACTGTGGTCAGACAAGATACAACTACTATGTGTCTTTTAGCTTTCTTTCCTCTTTCAACCTACTGTTTCTTTCCATTAATAATATACATATGTAACAAAATCCATCTGTAACTAGTCCCTGGTTTATGAAACAGTTCGGTTCTATCACTAGTTTCCACATGCATGTATTTTGTGATCAGATTTTTCAGACAGAAAAGTGAAAAACGGTGCCACCCTCACTCGGCCAATCAGCTCTCTGCCCAAAGAGTGCATGTTGTGGGCTGTTTGTCTTTACTTTCAAAAGACAAATGCATGTGTTATTCAAGAAAAAAATATGTTAGATAGACCAGGTTTAATCAACTCCCAGCCCAATATTTAAATAAAACTCATATTTATTCAATTCTAGATTATTTTAGCAGTCCAACAGTCACATAATATTCATTCAACAGTCAACATCTTATTCAGGAATGTGAATCCATTTACACTTTCATGGACATTGGTCATCCACCTGTTATGGACCAATGGCTCTATGTTTTTTTTTTTATCAATGCATTTCTTGTGTTTGAAAATATAAATTGATTTGAATTTAATTTATAAGAGATAGCAGAATACTAATATATAAGCTAATACATGAGAAACTTGCTGAAATATTTGTGAGAGAAACACATAAAGGCTTAAACATAATGAGCTTTCTAAATGTAAAAAGGGAAAAACTGAACAAATGTGTCATGACGCCTGAAGGCTAAACAAATAAGGGTTGATTCATGGAGACAGAAGGCTCCAGACAAGAGAACAAGTACAAAAAAGTACACAATATTGGGATGAATGTAACTTTTTGGCTCCTACATTGTTATCAAAGTCTGTCCTCGTCCTTGGCCCAGCACGATCCTTGACTCACACTTTACTTTTCTTAATGTTGAGCACGTTTGTTCAATGCAGGTTTTATGTTCTCAAATGTTGCTCAGTGATATTGTTGTGAAGGGAAGTGTGTAGGAAGAGTCCGATCACAGATGTAGGAGGATGGCACCGTGCACAGTGTGGGACTCTGCATGTGTCTGAAGATAAACAACAATACCAGTGCTCACATAAGAACTTGGCTCAACAAGTGGAACACCAGAAGAATTCAACTGTTATCTCTGTTATCTCTGTTTTCTTGAACCATTACAATCACCATGTTCTGAAGAAGGCCATCTCTTTGTACTAAATGGATTACAAAAGTATATGACAATGGAAAACTCTAAGTATTTGTCAAATCATTTAGAATTTTTAAGAAGATTATTATTATTAGGGGCCGCCCGATTTGGACATTTTTGACCCAATATGTATTTTTTGGGATCTTACTCTGCCCAATCGGATTTTCTTTATAGAAACAGAAAATCAGATTCTTTCTCTTTTTTAGTTAGACAGACTTACTATCTGGTTTCGGCTGCTCCAAGCGATAACATTTATTGTCCATGTCAGCATATTACAGAGATAGTAAACATTGTCCATACATTCGTGTAGTATGAACAAACAGGAACGGAAGAACATTGTTGTTATGGACATTTATCAACACTTTGGACATTGGTCAACTCACTCTATGGACCAATACCAATGTTCTTTATTCTTCGTGTTTGAACTGTTTGATTCTCTCATCTGTGTTGGCGATTTCAACATTTTTAAGTTCTTTGAGATAACTACTGTTGAGATTTAGGGCTGGGCTATGTAAGAATAATTTGAGTTGAATTGAACAGAAGCAAGAAAAAAAGTAGTTTATATTCTGTCTCTGAACATGTTGTCATGGTTTCGGTTTGTTTCCTATCATATTTTGTAACGTGTGGGGGCGGGTCCCGGCTCAAAAGTGGCCAAAATGACGTGCGCTGACATGCTTGCAATACCACCCCGGGCCGATGGGGGTGGACCCGGAATAAGAATTAGCCAATGCTAACATATAGCATCTTCTTACCTCTCAAAAACGTCTTTACAGGATGGTTCAAAAGTTGGCTCTTGGCCCAAAGTTCCGTTCCACATGTGTGTCAATGCTGAGGGGGGTGAATATTTTTGGACCAGTCTAGTTTACCCGCTGTGAATTTTTGAAGTCACTCGTTTAAATGAATGGGGCTCGTGCCGGCTGACGCATGCGCAAATGCGTTTTTTCACATTTTCCAGCCCCCGCGGCCATTTTGAATCACTCCATGAGAGCCCAATTTTTGGCCCATTAGTTAGACCGGCGGAGATGGTGACTACGTCCGTTGATATATACAGTCTATGGTTTAACCCTTGTGTCTTTCGTGTTACTTCCTGTTTCCTGATTCCCTGCCCCGCCCTCATGTGTCTCACCTGTGTCTTGTTAGTCGTTAGTGTATTTAAACCCTGTACACTCTCTGTTCCATCAATGTCATTCCCATGTCAGTTTTACTTTTTTCTCCTCAAGCTCTGTTTTCGTTACATTTTATCAAATTCTTAGATTCTTATGATGATTAATTCTGGTAAGAATGACTAGAATTTTAGTATAATCAATCTTTATCTGTATACCGTATTTCACACAAAACACTTTAAATTACTAAAAATGATATTTGGCATGTGTATATTAGCAGAGCTGAAGTTGGCTGGATGACATTGTGAATATTCACATAGACTTCTCACAGTCATGAATAATTGATGCAGCGAATGCAAGTTAATTCTGCAAAGTTTTACCAAAGGAGGCAGTGGAGGCAGTAACTTGGAATGATTAAAACATTTTGCCATTATCAAAATCCCACATTTCAAAATCGTCCAATTTACTCTGCAACTGTCCCTAATCATAATAGTATGGTTTTTGTCAGATCACAGAAGCTAAGCAGTGTAGTACTGTGATGGGGGACCGCTGCACCACAAACCAATTTATTTTACGACGATAAATCAATTTCAATACTTGATCCTATCCAAAAGGAGAATGCTGACCATATGAACCACTAGCCCAGTCTATATAATTCATACTTGACTTTATGGACTTTGAAATTGAAATTGTTGTAGCTGCTACACAAATCACAAGGAGTCGATCTGCGGCACACACAAAAAAAGTTCTCTCTGCTGCCCAGCCCTCAGCTCGAATATTTACATTCAAAGCTTCTTCCACCAGGTGCTTGTGTCAGGGGGTTAGCGTACCGTTTGGACCAGCGGTAGCAGGCTTGGGTATGACCACAGCAGTTCATGCCCGGTATGCGATGTCCTCCTGAGCGCTTGTGGATCATCCCCTCCCTGGAAACACACACACACACACAGGAAAAAACATTGAAACACACAAAATAAGCAAAACTAAAGAAGCTTCCTGAGAATACAATGTTTTCACAGCTGGTTACATGGGGATTTTGAAACAAGAAATGGCCAAATACTTACAATCCTTTAGGGCCCAAGTCGTGTATGAAAGACAGCTGGCTGATGTCTATAAACTCCATCTGAGAATAGACAGGAACAAGGCGGGCTCCAGAGATTGTACACACAGTATTGACATGTGACAGATCGTAAAAAGCACAAATGTAACTGTTTTGCATGTGCGTTTAGTCCGTGGTGTGCAGAAAGTAATAGCAAAAATATTTCTGTTTACGTTGTTATAATTATACAGTAATATCTGCTATTAGAAAACACAGACATTTGCGACAGATTTACACCTTTTTATGAGCCTATTACATTTTCTATGGTGTGATATGATATTGGCTTAATTGCAAGCTCAAAAGAAGCCTCATCATTTTAGTCATTACTATGTATATGTATATTAAAAGAATGTGTATTTACGATATTGGCATCCCTTAGTGTATTGTTATGTTGCCTATGGGGATCACAGATTATATACACAAGTGCAAATATACAAACATAAATTTCAATAAGTATTTACAAATGTATTTCTCTAAACTCTAAAAGGAATGGAAAAGAATAAAAAAAAAAAAAAATAAAAAATAAAATCAAAAAAAAAAAAAAAAAAAAAAATAAAAAAAAAAAAAAAAAAAAAAAAAAAAACAAAAAAAAGAAAAACAATAAAAAAAAAAAATATAAAAAAAAAAAAAAAAAAAACAAAAAACAAAAAAAAAATAATAAAAAAAATAAAAAAAAAGAAGTTACCAACACAACGCTCCAATGCTCCCCTCCATGGTTCTGCGCGGGGTTGAACTTCGCCGTTCACAATATGGGTCCGGTCGTGGAGGCTGCAAGGGCTG